TCCTCCTCCTCCTCTTCCTCCTCCTCCTCCTCCTCCTCCTCTTCTCCTTCTTCTTGATTTATTTATATTTATTTTATCTGTATGAGTGCTTTACCTGCGTGTATGTAAGTGCATCTGTGTTGTGCAAAGCCCATGGAGGCCACAAGAGGGTGTTGGATCCCCCTGAACTGGACTTATATATGATTGTTAGCCACCATGTGGGTTCTGGGAATTGAACCTGGGTCTCCTGGAAAAGTAGTCAGTGCTCTTAACCCTTGAGCCATCTCTCCAGCACCCTTACCTTTTCTTTTAGTAAGAATATTTAACTATACCTCTCAGTCATGCATAGCGTTCATATTCTCTTGGGACTATGTATTTATGTGTGGAGGGGGGCCTGGGTATTGAACCCAGAGGTGCTTTGTATGCTAAAAATATGCTCTACCATTGAGCTATACCTTTAACACTATCTTGAGAATTTTGACAGAAGTTTGAAATAGAATTTCCTTAGCAGAGCAGGACAAATTTTTTGTTGCTCTAACTTAGAAATGTAGAATGAAAAAGTTCTGGGAACCAAAACCTGAATTATATCAGACTCTTCCATGTTGGTATGTAGGACTAAAAGAGATTTTACCGATATAATCCATTAAGAAGTGTCAAACACAGTACTTGCCTATTCAGAGTAGAATGAATGCTGATGCTTCATTAGCATACTGGTGGCTTCCTGTCGTTCCTCACTCAAACCATCCTCACAAAGAGTCACCTGTTATTTGATGAGAAACAGCCATTGCTTGTTTGCCCCAGCTAACTAGCTAACTCTATTCTCATCTTGATAAAGATTTTAGTGCACAAAATTAGTTAATTTAGTCAATTTTTCTGTATTTATCTCCCATGTTTTAGGATAATGAGGATTTACTGGTGCTGTTAATGCAACATAAATCTTTAATTTTATTATCCACCCCATCAGCAGACTAGACTTTGTGAAAATTTAAGCTAAAAGTTATTTGACAAATGTTCCATCCTCAATAGTGAAAACTGGTCTGAAAATAATTTTTCAGCAGACTTTTCCAAAGGTTCTGAGTTCCTTCAAGCCCTTAAGATGTTGGAAATGTTATTAAGCATTTTGATTTCTTTTCCTTTCATCTCCTGTTTAGAAATTAATGTCTTGAAAAATTGGCTGCAAATGTTAAGGTTTTTTAAAGATATGGAATCTATTCATCCGTCTAATTCAATGGCAACTTGTTAAAAGGACTGATTCTGTGCTAGACATCTTTGCCAATCTCAGGAAGATCTTTGTCTTTGCTTTCTAGACTTTTACATGCCTACCCTTTATTTTCATTTTAGCACATGGAAAACAAAGCACTTCAATATTTTTTCAAATGAAAATTCCAGCACATAGTCAATCTTTGGTCTTTGTAAGGTAGCAGGACATAGCCCATTCCTGTATTTCATAAAAGAAGACAATAGATTGAAAGGTAATTTGAGCTTTAGAGGTGCAGCCCTTGGCGTTCTTCTCTCTCTCTCCTAGGTTACATTTTCTTTTGCTGTGGAATATATTGGTCCCCATTGTAGAAGGTCCTCTGGTTTATCTCTTTTTGTGGGGATCGTTGTTGCATACAGCTTTGTGTAAAGATGCAATTCAGAAACTGTCCCAATATGTGTGCATATGGGTGTACATATGGTCGATTTTAGCTTTAAGTTCACATTTCCTTGAATACATAGGCTGTGTGTATTCCCGTAATGGTAGCTGAGCAATTTCAGTGCTATGGCTCCATTTCTTTCTCTCTCCTTCCTTCTATACAGTAGTAACTTTCCTAAAAGGCCCATTAAAAACAATCCATAACACCATGCAAGCAGGCGCCAGGAAGTTTAAGTTTAGATAACAGTCCCATCACATTTGGCTGGTGGGCTGAAACTGGGAGTATAAATAGAATGGAATGTGATGTTATGATTCTCTTGCTAGCATGTGCAGTGCTGCTTGGGCAGGAGCCTCACCAACCATTTCTGTTCACTGACAGTCCAGCTGTGCTGGGTGCTCTGGATAAACAGTTACAGCCTTCAAATAAGACATACAATCTACATGGAACTGAATCTACAGATCTGCTTGCTTTAGTCCATCTGGTCACTTTGTAGACTTAGTAATCATTGTCAGAGGTACTGTGTACCAACTGTTTCAGTGGAATCCTGCCTCTGATTTCCAGATGTGATTTTTTTTTTTTACTTTAAAAAAAATATTTATTTATTTTTTATTTTATGTGTATGCTTGTATTGCCTGCATGTAGGTAAGTGCACCCATATCGTGCAATGCCTGTGGAGGTCAGAAGAGGCTGTTGGATCCCCTGGGACTGGAGTTAAGGACAGTTGTTAGCTGCCATGTGGGTGCTGGGATTCGAACCTGGATCTTCTGTAAGAACAGCCAGTGTTCTTAACTGCTGAGCCATCTCTCCAGCCCACAGAGGCAATATTTTATAATGAGTAAAAACCAGTGGATATGCAGCTCTTCTATAGCTCTCATTCTTGAATGTGTAAATTTGCTTTGTTAATTCATTCAGCTGAGATACCTGGACAAGTCTTCTCCCATAAGAGTACTATTCTGAAATCACACTCTACTTTGGGCCAGAATGTCTCAGAGTAAAGACTAGGCATCTTTGGAACAAGAACAGGGTTAGTACTAAAAATCACTAATTGATCACTATTTTGCAACAAATATTTATTAAGATTCTCTTATGTTTCATTGACATTTATCATAAAGTAGTGCAAAGGTAAGATATAGTCCCTACTCTTATGAATGTACTGGGGAGACAGGCACTGAGCAATGAGCAAACTATAATTATTTAATTATATTAGGCAAAGAACTGCAGAGGAGATACAGAGTTTTTCTATAAGAGCAGCTCATAGGAATTCTGACATCATCTGAAGTCTCAAAGAAATGAGTGGTGCTTGATGTAATTCTAGGGAGTACTTGTTACTTGGGGGTGCAGTGTAGGAAACATAATCCAGGCAGCAGCATAACACCTTGTGGAAAGGCTTTGAGAAGGAACACGGTATTAGCTTGGGGCCAACAAGGCTCAGCATGGAAACTGGAGTCAAGAAAAGGATGGGACATAGGAGAGAAGTCCATAATAAGTCCACATCTTACAAGGCCCACCTAACAGGTCTTGCTAATGATTTAAATGTCTTATTAAAAGTTCTAGAAACAATTAAAATGTTTAATTTAGATGGTCATTGACCTGCCTGAATTTCTGTAAACTTATCAAAGACTATTCTGTCTGTGGGAAAAGGATAAATTGGAGGAAGAAAGCACAGACACAGGGATCCAAGTTAAAATACTATTGTACTAGTCCAGAAAGGGGAGTTGGAAGCCTGATATAAGGAAGAAGAAATAAAGGTGAAACATTAAAGAAGTAAAGCTCAACATGACCTGGCGAGTGATTTACTATGTGGAGGGGATAAATCGTCCTGAGTAGGACTACTAGATGGCAACTCCACTGATAGAAGAGAAAGGGACACTAGGTATGTGTGAAGCTAGGGAGTGTAATTTGGGTGAGGTTGTTCCATTTTAAGAGTCCTAGAGGAGGTCCATTGCTTAACTGGTTCCAGTACTTAATTGGTTATTGGAATCTGAAACTCAGAGGAACTTATTTCCTTGATGAAAATACACAGGCGTGTTACCTGTGGTAAAATGAGCAGCCATAGGTGAGCAGACCACAGAGAAATCTACAGAGCCTACAAGTTGTTGAGCTACATTTCACAGGTACTGTTGAGTTCTCAGGCTGCAGCAGATCATTTGCTGATAGATGGTATGTGAAGAGGAAAATCATCCAATTTTTAAAGACATTTTTTCACCTTAAGCCTTAAGTAACTTTTGCACCTTTCAAGAATGGGATTTGTGTACGGAGGAAACTCTTTGGCAGCCGAACCTTGATTTTAGACTTACAGTCCCCAGCCTTTGTTTTGATTTAACTCAAATCTCTGCAACCTCAAATTCGTTTTGTTTTGGTTGTCCCTGGTAACATATGTTCTGGTTGGTAAGCAAATTCTATTTGCTCCAAATAGTCTTCAAAACTTTCCTCAGTTTTGAGAGATGCCATCTCCTTTGGCCTTGGCCTTGTGTTAAAACAAAAAAGAAAGATTAGTTCTATCACCAGCGATGATCCCCAGTTTTGCAGAAAGGGAGTCTTGTCTTCAGGCTACAGTGTAGTCTTCCCATATTTCACAGGTCATAAATTTCTGATTTAGATTATGATGATATTGACTTCACTTGTGAAAACTGGGCCACACCCCTCTCATCTGGTTCTAAAATAAGACTGTATCTATTGGAAAAATAAAATTTGTAGTCTTTTTTTTTTCAGCACTTATTCCTTAAAGATTCATAGCTTAAAATGAGATACATTTTAAGACTATATTTCTCAAATTGTTGTGTTTAGGCCACATACATAAGAATCACTGTGTGTTCTTGCTACTGATGAAGAGAGTTGAATATTTTCTTCCCATTGTTTTTATTGTTAAGTTTCTGGGTAAATGAATTTTGAACATACACCTTAAGTGAAGTTTATGTTATTGGAGATTAAGAACCACCCTTTCAAGAGATTAACATTTGTACATCTTCTGATTAGAATTCTAAATTGATGGGGGATTAAGTGGTTTATAAGCCAAGCAAGATATTGTACCAATTTTGAAGTTAATAACTGAGTCATGTGTTCATATATTTTGTAGGTACTATTACCTTTTCAGTGACTTAACAGAACTCGCTGCAGGAATTTCTTTTCGAAAACATAGTGAGAAAGATCAGAATAGACAGGAAAAGTAGAAAAGAGGAGAAAGCTTAAGTATGGTGAAGAGGCTGGAGTGAAGACAGGGAAAGTCAAACTTGGCTCTGTGTGGTCTTTCTTTAGGGGTGCTGTTTGGTTAGCTCTAATGGGCATGCTCTGTGAGTTCTTCTTATACACAATTTTACATTCATGGACATTTCTAGTGGATAATTTTCTTTTCTATCTCCAGAAGTAGCAAAACACTCACCTTACTTTTCCCCCATAGGAAGAACGGCGTGTGATTTACGTTGGTAAAATCAGACCTGACATAACGCGGACAGAACTGAGGGACCGCTTTGAAGTTTTTGGTGAAATTGAGGAATGCACAGTAAATCTGCGGGATGATGGGTGAGAATCTTCAAGATTATTTCTTGTTTAGAAGCTGACGTATGTAAAAAATTATGGCCCTAAGATTACTGGGATGGGAGTTGCCAATGTAAGTGCTTTGACAGATGACATGTTGAGTTCAGAACCTTATTTATTTTCTTTCATCTCTATTTATTAATCTTTCTAGTTGAGATTTCCTGTCTCAGAAATAAGTATTTAGCTGCTTGACAGGACAATCACACTGATAAATGGATGTGGTGGCAGGGATGCTGGCACCAGTAGTGCCTCCCATAAAAGGGGTGACAGTCCTCTGTGCTGATGCAGCCAACCAGTTCTGAATGCCTCTTCCCTGCCATTGCAGAGACAACTATGGTTTCATCACCTACCGTTACACCTGTGATGCTTTCGCTGCTCTTGAAAACGGATATACTTTACGCAGGTCGAACGAAACTGACTTCGAGCTGTACTTTTGTGGACGCAAGCAGTTTTTCAAGTCTAACTATGCAGACCTAGGTATGGTACATTACTGTTGTACGTGAAAGGACAGACCTATAATGTAGAGCTCAAAGTGGAAGTGAGCACATTCCAGAGGCACCACTAGGCCATCACTTTATTTTACTGAAGGTAATATGTGAATATAAGTTTTTTAATAGGATACATGACACTTTCAGAAACAGGGTGTTTAGGTTTTTGCCATTAAGGGCAGAAGTTCTTATATAAATAGTTGTTAAAACCTGCACCATTTGAAGTGTTTGTGGAGTTATGTTTTATGTGTGCATGTGTGTATCCACTTGTGCTTAAGTTGTGCACATGTGTATATCTATAATCTGTGTTTGTGTTTCATGCCTACCCTCAATCCACTGTATAAACTCCAGCACTATCATCATGGTTTTATGGATCAGAATATGCAAAATACTTGCTTTTATTTTGGCATTATTTTACAAACTCTTAGAAATAGTCTCATTTTCTATGAATTACACTTGAGAGGAGAAAGTTGAAGTTCATTAGGTAAATGGCCACGTACTTACATCCCTGAGGATAAAACAAGCCTTATTTACTGAGTGTTTCCAGATCCTACATATTGCACCAGACGCTCTGAAACCATTTTTCCCACTTGAGAGACAAGATCCTATTAGAAGATATGCATTATTATCATCTCCATTTGACAGGTGGTTAAAATCATATAACATAATATTATATATACATATTTTCTGTCCAAAAGGAGAATTTCAGGAAGAAAAGTAAAATCCCCTATCAGTCTGTCACCCACATATAACCACTATGACCAACTGAGCTCACTGTTTTCTAGTACTTTGTCTTGGAATTCTTAACTTCTTTAAAAAAAGTTTTATTGTGCTTTTGTAATTTTATACAACAGTTTTTAATCAAATTTAATTTCTTTTTCCCATCCACCCCCCCCCATCATTCCACTGGACCTCACGATACATGTTAAGTCCTATCCAGTCAAGCATTTGTACCCAGATGTCCTTCAGTATGATTTCATCCACCGGAGTCTAGTCAACCCATCTAGAGATCCTATGTAAGGCATACTCTCCCTCATCTAGCATCAGTCAGTCTCTAACAGTTCTCAGTCTCTGGCAGCCTGCCACCCATTTCTCTCTGCCCCTCTGGCCCCTTGTCTAATTGGGTTGATATGGGTCCTGTACCACAATTGCCATAAATTCACATGTGCAAGCTTCCAGTGGCCTGAAAGTGGCCCTGCGTTCGTGAACCAGCCCTGGCTCTAACAATCTTTCCATCCCCTTTTCCAAAATGGTCCTTGAACCATGGGTGCGTGAGGTTCAATATAGGAGTCCTATCCACGGATCCACACTCTCAAGTCTCTTATTCTTTACAACTTGACCAGATGTGGCCTTCCGTGTGCATCACACTCTGTGGATCCACACTCTCAAGTCTCTTATTCTTTACAACTTGACCAGATGTGGCCTTCCGTGTGCATCACACTCTGTTGTATAAGGAAGCTTCACTGGTGGGAGTTGAGGGATGCATTGGTTTTCTCTCTACCCCTCATTCTGCTATGTTCCATGAACCCTAAGGGTACAGGTTCAACTGTATAGATGGGTCATCTAGTATTAGGCATCTCTGAGACATATATTCTCTATGTCTGATCAGTTGTGGAATTCTACAGTAGCCTCTATATGTTACAAAAAGGAGCTTCTTTGATGAGTGTTGTGTGGCATGGTTGTCTATAAATATAAGGATCCATATTTAACATATAGTAAGAAATTTCATTTGTCTAGAGATATGAAGGAGATAGGGTTTTCTCTAGGATCTGTGTCCTCCCCTGCCATGAGTATTTGGCTGTGTTTACAGTGCCACCCATGAGCTCATTCCCATTAAGAGGGCTTTAAGCCCAATTAGATAGCTGTTTATTGTCCCCCAGATAACAGTGCCACTGCTACACCAATAGTGGTAGTTTGCCACCAGTCGTTGTGGTTATTAGGATTTAGGGCTGAGTTGGACCACTGATTATTTTTCTCCCTTGGCAGTTTGCATAATATCATCTAGTACTATGGTAGCTAAACCTTGGGTAGAAGGCTTCCAGGTCAGTTCCTGCTCCATTGCTCCAAGTCCTGTTCCCAAAGTATGTTGTGTCTTCAGTAGTAGGGTCTTATCTACTAGTTCTGGGAGGTAACTAAGAGATTTGGCAATAGCCTGTGTTATTTTGGGAGTCTCCTGAACCACTCTCACAAACCATTCAAAGGGAAGTCTCTTCTATCTGGCACTGTGTTCTTTGCCAAGCAGTTCCCAGATATACATATGCACTAATGTTTAGACACTATAGGGGCATTTCTCATGGGATTTGGGGGGCATCACATTTCCCTCTGGGTTTCCTAGGCTTCCAAGATTCGTTAACCTCTAGTTTTGTTCCTCTGGATTAGGGGGAGGTGGTGCTTAATTTCTTATAGTTGAGGCCATATTATATATGTGAACATATGTGCTTATTTATGCACATATGATTTAAGTAGTACTTTCCATAACCATAGTATAAAAATTTGCTCCTTATGTAATTCACAGATTAAAATAATTTATGCACCTATTTTAGTGGTTACATAGTATTCAGTTGGGCAATTAGTAATTCCATTATAGCTACACATGTATTCAATTTTTAATTTTTTGATGTTATAAATAAGGCTGTAATAGACGTCTTAATTTTCTTTCCAATTCTAGTTTTGTCTCTTTGAATGCCATCCCCCATCTAATGTGTGTGTTATAAGTCTTTTAATTCTTTGAGGAAGGAATGAAGAAAAGTGGCAAATGTGCATATGACAATGATTTTAAATTAATTTGTAGTAAGCATAAAATGAGCGTATACATCTCTTCCTCAGAATTATTAGTTAGCCTCTTTCAATTGATCTGAAGTAGTACAAAGGAAGAAATGAATACCAGATACTGGGATTTCTTTTTTCCTTTCTAACACAGTTATGTCTTCCTAGAATAATTGATATAGGTCCTGTGCATTGTTCAGGGGAATATGCTATAATTCACTTCACACACTAAATAGATAGCATGAAGCAGGGGAGAGGCAGTGACTGTTAGAGAGATAGAGACCTAGGGATGAAAATATAAAACCTGGCAAGTCATTTGTTCAAATGTTGGCTGATAAAAACAGTCAAGACAGATTGAAGCCGTGAGTTGATTTGACTTATTTTCTTTAGTGACAGAGTCTAGGGTGTTTCTAGTCTCTCAAAACATCTAGAGTTTAAAACAAGATACCTAGAGGGGTCTTTAGATCATGATTCATCATGGTAGAGGGAGGATTAGATGGTATTTCCAAATTGAACTGGTGTCTCCCTGAAATATTTCTCCAAAGAATGCTCCTTCTCTCCTTATCTCCCTGCCTAGCCAGCAGCCATAGAAAATCTGCCATTGCTTGACTCATGCCTTAAAAAGCATGCATCGAAAAGCATGTTTGATGTTCGCTGTGGATATAAATGGTATGTGTAGCCCATTGTAAGCACTTTGGGGATACAAGGAGTGGATTTTCTAAGCATATTCATGAGGTAGTCATAGTCAAAATAACCTTAGCTTTAGAATCATACCACCCTGCATTTAAGACCTGGCTTACTGCTCTTTCTGGATGGGCATTTCAGCTCCTTTAGCTTCTGGTTCTTTCAATGTAAAATACATTATAGTGTTGTAGTAAAGGTATGTTAAGTGTGTATGTAGGAACTGTTATAACAGTGTCTGGCATAGAATAATAGCAGTTATTATTATAATTTAAAATGTTAGGAATGAGAAGTTAGAAATTTAGAACTGTTTTTAAATGGAAGAATCAACACGAGGGTCACGCTTTGGAGTGCAATGAAAATCTCACTTCTTGCCTTTCTTCCCCTGAAGAATTTAGATTAAATGATCCAAGACGTGTAAACCCTAATATGAGGAACATAGTAACATACTGGTTACATAAAGGGATTAGAAGCTCTTGCATAGGTTAAAATGTAACAAAAAGTGACAAACATATTAATTTTACCTAGAAAATAAAAGGGGCTATCATTTGAGATAGATTCTATCATTTTATTTTGTTTTTATTTGCTCCTCCAAATGAAGTTACCTCCTCACACATCCCATTGTTCTGCTATTGAAACTAGTTAATGATGACTACAATATTATTAGAGCAAACCATAATGATTCCAACTACTATATATCAGCCAGTTTTATAAATGAAAATGAAAATTTAATGTGACTTGATCAAGACTGCGTGGTAAAACCAGGATTTGAAATCTGCTGCTTATGAATCATGATGTTGTTTCTATTTACTGTCTGATAAGCAAATGGATCTTTCTAAAAAAATTATCTTGATAAAATATATTAAACAAGAAAGACAGAGTCAGAACAGAAGGATGGGACTGTATTATGAATAATAATAGTTTTGATCAGGAATTAGTTATGCATAGAAGTTATGTTCATACATATAACAAAAAATGAAATAATACATCCATCATATTTCTTTATTAGCTCAGAAAGTGTATTTACAGTATTAGCTCTTGAATGTATACATAACTTTACGTGTTTCCTTGCCATTTATAGCTGAATCACTCCCAGATCCCAACACAAATATTTTCAACCCTGGTTTTAATAATATTCAGGCGTCGAAGATTAATGCATTCATTCAACAAACATTAATTTGAAGACCTACCTGGAGCCAACAATCATCCAAATGTTAATAATACAAATGTAATGTGATTTGTTTCTCTTAATACAGGATCATTATTTATAATAATTTCTTTTGAAAATTAATTAGGGTGGCTTCCAAGTTATTCCCATAGTCTTTTTTACATCTTACTGAGTTCCAGCACCTTCTCACACATGACACGTGGCTACATTCTGTCTCATCAACAGAAAAAAGTCCTTTGGACACCAACTAGGAGGCATAATGTGTGTGTTTGTGCATGTGGACACACTACTACACATTAAAATACACATTAAAGAAACTCTTAAGAAATGCAATTTCTCAGTATTTTGAATGTTTACCAATGAAAGTACCAAATTCTGAGCCATACTTAGAATAATCCAACATTAGACAACTGAATTCTCTAAATTCCCTCCCAGAAAAAAAGTTGCAACATGTCGTGGTTCCGTGCTGCTTTTGCCCTACACACTACACTCACTGGGAGACCGTTTCATCTTGTCCATGCAAATGACGTTGTGATGTCAAATCAATCTCTTCTTCTGAGTTAAAATTAATTTTTGTCTCTACAAAAATTTGTGATTTGAATATTGTCCGTTCATGAACTTTCAGTAATATAAGGAAACCATTCATGAGGCTGTGAAGAGAAAAAGCTGAAGCCAATATAATTTTAGAATTAGCTATTGGGGGTGTTATTAAGGAAGCATTGGCCATGTTTGTCCTGGCTTTTCTGCCTGAACAAGAAGAGTACAATTGATTTTACCTGGAAAGTCTTGCTGGAAAAAAAATTTCTGTAGACAGGATTTGTAGTAATGAAAAAAAATGGAGGATTTTCTTAGGGTTTAAATTTAAGGTTGAGAATGAATCTGGCATACAGGTAGTCAGACTGATGCTGGAGAGATTGTAGCATCGCAGCCTTTTCAGCAAAATCTTTCTGTCCTTGCCTCTCTCCTTACCTCCTCTTCTCCCATCTTTCCCTTCTTCCTGTTTGTTTGTCCCTCCTCCCTTCTTCCTCTGTCTCTGTTTCCCTCCTCCCTCTCCTCCCTCCCCCCTCCTTCTTTCCTTTTTATGCTGGGGGTTGAACCCAGAGCTTTTACTTGATAGGCCAGTGCTCTACCTCTGAGCCACAGACACAACCTCAGCAAAGCATGTTTTCACATCAATCTTTAGGCTTCCATGTCATCTACTTTTAAACTTTTGTCGTTTGAGTTCTTCTATTGTAATTCATTCTAAGAAAAACATGAAATAAGCATATAATTAGTAAAATCATCAATGTCTTCCCAAAAGTTTTTTTAACCTTTTTTTAAAAAATTACTTATTATTTTTATTTTATGTGTATGCATGTATTGCCTGAATGTAGGTAGGTGCACCCATGTCATGCAATGCCTGAGGAGGACAGAAGAGGCTGTTGGATCCCCTGAAACTGGAGTTACAGACAGTTGTTAGCTGCCATGTGGGTACTTGGATTCGAACCCAGGTCTTCTGCAAGAACAACTAGTGTTCTAAACCACTGAGCCATCTCTCCAGCCCCCCCCCAATTTTTTTTTCCGTTAAAAAAATAATTTATTGAGAATTTCATACATGCATATAAGGGCATTTGATCAAATCCATGCCCATTCCCTCCCCTCCAACTCCTCCCATATCTCCCCATCACTTTTTTCTCCTAACTTCATGCACTTTTTCTTCTTTTTTTCTTATGGGGCTTTTTTCTACTCTAACATGCTCCCCCCTCTGAAGAGGTAACCCTAAAATCTTTTAAGGATTAGATAAAAGCTCCCAAATATTTTTGACATTTTTGGCCTTTGGAATGAGTTATGTTGCTAGGAGGTCCAAGGGCATTGTGACTTTTAGCCAAGAAACTGGCTACTTTTCTTTGGGGTCTTTTTACCCTAACTGCCTAGCCAATTCCTAACTCCTATTCTTACCACACCATCCTCTAAAGAGGTTACCCAACTTGTAGATAGGGAATCAGGATGCAGACCACTCTGGCTTCTTCCATGCTGAACTGGGACACAGGGTGAGGTAATTGAGGTACCCCTTCAGTGGGCCTAACTAAAAGACTCCCAAATTGCATAACTCTTGTCTCTAAGGGGAAAAGAAAGTCCTTGACTGGTGAATAGGAGATGTGAAGGAGAAGTAAAGGCAAGAGTAACTAGCATTTCAAATTCTAGACCCGGAACTAGAAAAAAGTCAGAACAGGGCAATTTTCAAATGTTCATATTAGAGTCCATTGGAATTTCTTGACAAGGGCTTCCAAAAGCATCCTTCTATTGGGTTCCTCCTCATTTTTCATTTGCCTGCCAAGGCTGGACTCTAGAGTGATGGATTCAAGATTTACTTTCAGGCCTTTTGATAACTGAGTGGCTAGAATCAGTGTCAATTCCCTCTCAAAGGCTTCTAGATAGGGGGAGAACACAAATTTATCCATCATTTTAGAACAATAGCCAGTTGTCTCCCTTAGCTACAGGTGGGCAGTACAGTATTGCAGACCAAGATTTGAAGTTTTACATCTGAGCAGCACTTTCTGATTAGGAGCAAAATCATCAATGAGAAATAATTGTCTAAATAACCACTGAGCCATCTCTGCAGCCCCCTCTGACATGTTTTTATTTTCCCTTCAAATAAATATGTTTCAGAGAAGTAAAATATTTACAAGAGGTTTTTTGTTGTATTTCCAAGGTACTCTTTCTCACTTTTAAGACAGGAAGAACTTTCTGCCTTTTTCATAGGAATCAATGGAGAAAGATCAGGCGTTTCTAACTGTAATGCACTTTGTTTTTTTGTTTTGTTTTGTGGTTTTTGAGACAGGGTCTCCCTGTAGCCCCCAGCTGGCCTGGGACTCACTATGTAGACCAGTAGACCAGGCTGGCCTCGTACTCACAGAGATCTACCTGCCTCTGCCTCCTGCCTCCCAAGGCTGGAATTAAGGCCACCATGCCTGGCCTTAACTGAAATGCACTTTATATACATTACTAAATCTCATCTATTTTATGAAGAGTTGTTTGAGATAATGTGGTATTTTTCATACAGTCTGACTTGAACTAATTTAAAGATCCAGGAAAGAGTCTGCTCTTTTTTCATACCTGAATATTGCCCTCTAACAATAAAAAGTTAGATGAGTTTCAGATACCATCTCACAAATTGGAGCATTTCCCCAGATCTTCTCACTTGAGGGCAGTTTGTCCCACTCTGGCTAGGGTTCCTGGTGGCATTGGGTTAGATGGTCCTGCCCCAAAGTGGAGCAGTCCATTGGATATTTAGTGGACATTCTGGAATGATGTGCTCTCTCCTGTTCAACTGAATTCTGTGCTTAATGAAATTAATTCCATTGAATGAGAAAATTATTTCCAACTTTTGTTTGTACCATTGATCTAAGCTGTTGGCTAGTCTTAACCTGCCAGGATAGGAGGAGGGTGGTCATCATTAAAGATATTAAATATTAAATATAAAACTCTACTATGCCTGCATAGTCTGAGTAAATGAGTCAATAGATGTTTATTTTTGAGAGCAAGCTATTTCATTCTATATTTACATGTATGTATTCATTAAAATCTAGACATTGTTTTAAAGTATATGGATTAACTCAATTACAATCAAAAGGGGTATTTTGAATTGCATTAGAGGCCATCTGCAAAGGGTACATCTAACCTGGCTTGGGTTTCTTTCAGATTCAAACTCAGATGACTTTGACCCTGCTTCCGCCAAGAGCAAGTACGACTCTCTGGATTTTGATAGTTTACTGAAAGAAGCTCAGAGAAGCTTGCGCAGGTAACATGTTCCCTGGCTGAGGATGACAGAAAGATGGTGAATACCTCACGGGACAGCGTGTCCATCCCCAACAGACTCTTACAAGTCATACTTAGAACTTCTCCTACTTACGCTCTCTGTACAAAAACAAAGCAAAGCAAAGCAAACATACAACAACACAAGAACAAGAGCAATGGTTTACATGAACAGAGCTGCTGAAGAGGCAAGAGACAGAATGATTTCCTGTAAGCACATGTTTATTCAAGGGTGTCAGCTTTGCTTTCCCTGGAGGCTCTTGTGACTGACAGAGTGAGTGAGTGTGTGTGTGTGTGTGTGTGTGTGTGTGTATGTGGTGTGTGGTGCGTGTGCGCGCATGCTCACTGGGAGGGGGAAGTAGCGTGTGCATATGTGAGGACTGGGGCACCTGACCAGAACAAGCAAGGGCAAACCACTTCAAATGGCAGCAGTTCCATGAAGACATACGTAAAACCTAGAACTTCAAAATGTTCATATTCTATACAAAAGGAAAAATATAAATATATATATAAATTTAAAAGGAAAGAAAACTCACAAACCACCCTAAAATGACACTGCTGATGTCTGTCGTCAGCCTCCGTACTGTCTTTTAAGAAAGTGCAAAACCAACTTACAGCAAGCTTTCTCTCTTAATGCAATGATTCTCTGACAATCCCGAAGAAACCACAGGTTCCATAGAACTAATATCCTGTCTTTCTCTCTGTCTTCTTTTTCTTTTTCCTTTTGCCATGGAATCTGGGTGGGAGAGGATACCGCAAGCACCAGATGCTAAACTTTCCTAACATTTTGAAGTTTCTGTAGTTCGTCCTTTGTCCTGACATTCATGTAAATGTCCAAAATGTTGCTCTTCCACTGCAAATTTTAAAAAGCCTTGTCATTGGTCAAGTGGGGAGCGTGTTCAGCAGTTCTTTCTGAGGAGCGGACGCGGTGTTGCATTACTACTGAGAGTTGAGTAGAACTCTCTGGATGTGTTCAGATAGTGTAATTGCTACATTCTCTGATGTAGTTAAGTATTTACAGATGTTAAATGGAGTATTTTTATTTTATGTACATACGATAAAACTATGTTCTTTTTTGTTACAGCTATGCACTGTAAATGCAGCTTTCTTTTCAAAACTGCTAAATTTTTCTTAATCAAGAATATTCAAATGTAATTATGAGGTGAAACAATTATTGTACACTAACCTATTTAGAAGCTGAACTTACTGCTTATATATATTTGATTGTAAAAAAAACAAAACAAAACAAAACAAAAGACAGTGTGTGTGTCCGTTGAGTGCAGCTACAACAAATCACGCTTCACGCACATCCGTCCCTTCTTAGGTGAGCTTCCATCTAAACATCTTGTGAACAAATAAATATCCTAGGCCCCTAAAGCTGTTAACCACTTCTGTGATATTTTTCCACATTTTCTTGTTGCTTGTTTTTCTTTGAAGTTTTATACACTGGATTTGTTAGGGGAATGAAATTTTCTCATCTAAAATTTTTCTAGAAGATATCATGATTTTATGTAAAGTCTCTCAATGGGGAACCATTAAGAAATGTTTTTATTTTCTCTATCAACAGTAGTTTTGAAACTAGAGGTCAAAAAAATCTTTTTAAAATGCTGTTTTGTTTTAATTTTTATGATTTTAATTTGATACAAAATGCTGAGGTAACAATTACAGTATGATTTTTACAATAATTAATGTGTGTCTGAAGACTATCTTTGAAGCCAGTATCTCTTTCCCTTGGCAGAGTATGATGATGGTATTTAATCTGTATTTTTTACAGTTATGCATCCTGTATAAATACTGATATTTCATTCCTTTGTTTACTAAAGAGACATATTTATCAGTTGCAGATAGCCTATTTATTATAAATTATGAGATGATGAGAATAATAAAGCCAGTGGAGACTTTGTACCCAGGATGCATGGCGCTTGTCAGGTTGGAGGGTAAGTTCTGCACTGGGGAAACAGCTCTCGCAGAAGCAATGTTCCTACTACACTCGCATGGCCTCCAACATGTTCTTGATGACATTGCTTCTGCTAAATTTAGTAATAACAATAAAAGATCTTCAGAAAAACACCTCCGTTTTGAGCATCAGGATTTCATCTGAGTGTGGAGTTCCTGCCATGAAAGTCACAAAAGTTTGTAGTGTATAATCGATTTCCAAATTGAGATCCAACTATTGTTTGGCTGGCATGACTCTTCCGGAAGATGTGCTAGACCTACTATGTAATTGTTCTGTTCCTTTTCTCACCCAACATGATCTTACAAAATGGGTTTCACCCCCAGGCTGATGCAGCTAGTTTTGATAGCTGTGTTCATTTATCACCAGCATACTGTGTTCTGAGTGAATCCACTGTCTGTCCTGTCGGATGCTTGCGCAAGTTTTTGGCTTCTTATTTCTAAGTAGATAGAAAGCAATAAATAACTATGAAATAAAAGAACTTTGTTCACAGGTTCTGCGTTACAACAGTAACACATCTTTAATCCGCCTAATCCTTGTTGTTCTGTAGGTTAAATGCAGGTATTTTAACTCTTTGTGAACGCCAAACTAAAGTTTACAGTCTTTCTTTCTGAATTTTGAGTATCTTCTGTTGTAGAATACTAATAAAAAAGACTATTAAGAGCAATAAATTATTTTTAAGAAATCAATATTTAGTAAATCCTGTTATGTGTTTAAGGACCAGATGCGTTCTCTATTTTGCCTTTAAATTTTTGTGATCCAACTTTAAATACATTCTCTTTTTCGCCCTGGATTGTGGACATGAGTGAAATACTTAGTTTCTTTTCTTACTTATCAAAAGACAATACTACAGATTTCATGTTGACGATTAGTTCATTTCCCCCACCCTCTGGTCTGACAAATCTTGTTACCATGAAGATAGTTTTCCTCCTTGGATTTCAAATTGCATCTAAAATTAGTGAAGCTTTTGTATCTTAATGCAGACACTGTGGGTAGCCCATCAAAATATAAACTGTAAGCTGTGTTCCTTCCATTCTTAATTCTTTTGAGAGAGAATATTTCCAATGAACACATGCACCCCACCATCATGGGAGGCAAATTTCAGCATAGATCTCTAAGACTTTGAGATAGATGACTGTGGTTGTTGCCTTCGTGCTGTGGTAAGGACCACATCTACAATTTTGGTAACCGAACTGGTGCTTTAGAAATGTGGGGTTTTTTTTTAAAGAGATGTAGCAGAATATTTCTTCCAGTGCAACAAAATCAATTTTTGCTAAAGGACTCAGAACAACGGTTGGGCTGTCAACACTCAAAGCAGCAGAGGGAACTTGGCACTATTGGGGTGTGATGTTTGGGTCAGTTGAAAAAAGGAACCCGTTTCATGCCTTTAGATGTGAGCTAACAGTAGGTAATGATTATGTGTCCTTTTTTGAAGGCTGTAACGAGAACTTCAATCACTGTAGTCTAAGACCTGATCTATAGATGACCTAGAATAGCCATGTAATATAATGTGATGATTCTAAATTTGTACCTATGTGACAGACATTTTCAATAATGTGAAAACTGCTGATTTGATGGAGCTACTTTAAGATTTGTAGGTGAAAGTGTAATATTGTTGGTTGAACTATGCTGAAGAGGGAAAGTGAGCGATTAGATGGGCCCTTGCTGGGCTCTTTTCCACCTGCCAATTCTACATGTATTGTGGTTTTATTCATTGTATGAAAATTCCTGTGATTTTTTTTAATGTGCAGTACACATCAGCCTCACTGAGCTAATAAAGGGAAACGAATGTTTCAAATCTACTTCTGCCTTTCTTATTTATCGGAACCAGATTGCTGGCATGTTTCTCAGATCAGCACACATTATTCACTTATTATTATATTTCCTCTCTGGCCCTTTCCCCCCTTTCCCCTCTTTCCTATATTCATGGGTGTACTCAAGCTCTGTGGACATGGGAACATCCTGTATCTTACTTGGTCTTCTCTTTCAAAGTATAAAAGGCAAGCGTGGTGATTTTTACAATGAAGGCTATAAGGTGAAAAGTGACATGGGTGTTATCAAATGGCTTAGATTTTTGCACTTAATCCTGTATTTTTATGGATAGGCTATTGTCTGAGGGATATCAGCTAAATATTCAGTGTGGAAACTGATTCTACTATAGACAGACTAGATTTTTTTTTTTTTTTTTTTGAAGACTTGTAGCAGGAGAAAGGCCTTATGCTATGCGAATCATCAGGGTATACATGGGATGAGCTGGTAGCTGCTGACAGGTTTTGCTGTCAGGATGTCTACTGTGCCTGGTACTGAAGGTGGCCTTAATGATAAAATGCATTATACTACTTTACCCTTTCCTGATTTCAGATGGTCCTTTCCACTCGACCATTTGCTTTGCAAGACCAGCATAAATGTAGTACTAGAGAATCATGACTAAACATATTCTCTTTTTCTCATCCTGCCAAATTTCTTAGAGAGAAACAAAGTTTGTAAATCATAGAAATACAATGGAGCCATCAATAAAATGGATTAAAATCTGCTAAGTGACATAAGAAATACTCCTCAAGGTTCTAGACCATTTTGTGCCAATAGCAAAATTTGGCAGTTTGCTTGGTCAACATGCAAAATTAAAACAAACAAACAAACAAAAAAAACCCTTACTGTTATGTCATGTCATTATTGCATCCATGACAACTATGCTTCCTAAGTATTCCTGAGATCCAGCAAACACGCATACCTGACTCATCTTCCACTTGCACTTACGTCATGTAGGCCAGTTTTCATCTTTTGCCTGGGAGTAACCAGGATATTGGAAAAATACAAGTGCTCCTGAAAGGGTTAATTTGTTCCTTCTAATAAAGCAGAGAGAGTATGAGATATTTTAAGATGCAGAACTAGCTGCTGGTTTGATACTGGGACATCCTGATGGGAGATGAAGTGTTCATTTCATATTGGCTCTGTAATATTAACTCACTTCCATCTTTGATGATGCTATTGGCAAAAATAATTATTGAAATCAAAAGTAAATGAACACTTGATATGAATAGTTTCTTTAAAGAAGCCTGTCTCACTTCAAGTCTTTCAAATTAAATCTGTCTAAACGATATGCTGTGTCACAGTGAGTTGAAATTCTTTTCAACGTTGCCAGTTTTCTCCTATTTGTAAGGTTATTTAGCGAATCATTGGATATAATTTACAGCCCTCACAACATTATTAGACTCATTTGACACTAGTGTTACTGGCTACACAGTTGTAACTCAGCACTAATTATAGAGTATTGTAACCAAAGCCTACTTTTTTGCACTATTTGCTGTATATTAATCTCACATTGGGCTACATTCCTTGCTCTTTGTTTTCAGCTTGCTATACATCATTATAAATCAATCTTTGTATTTTATCAAACAACAGAGAGTAATAAAGAAGGTCACAACTCATAGAGGAGTTCCTTGGAGGTTTGTAACATCAGGATTTAAATCTCAGAAAGATTTAATCAAAAGCTGAGTTAATCCCTGGGGAAAAGATGTTGTATAGATTTCCATTGATGGGTACAAAGCAACCTACTTCTTTTCAGTGATCTCTATTAACACATTGGGGAAGGAACAGTTTTTCTGTGAAGAAGGACACAGTTTCCTTGGTGGGTGAGGGATATCACGTGATCCCTCTTCTGGTCAGGCTTCATCTTTCTCATGACTGATTTATTCTACTTACTGTGGCATTGTCTGTGTTTCCAATGTGTGGTTAAAGTGAAATATCCTCCACCCTCTTGTTCTCAAGTATCCCATGTGATTGCAGTAACTGTGTAGAGTCCCCAAAACTCCATTCCACTCAAGCATGTGGAATGTGTGGGTCACATGGGCTGGTTTTCAGGTCTCTTCTGTGTAATCAGGTGACTGCCCCAGGGCAAATTCTCAGCATTCAAGGACAGCAAAAACTTGCAGAAAGAAATGAACATAAAACTCATGTATTTTGAAGATAAGATTCTACTGAAAATCCTAGCATGATTTAATTACTAAGGGCAAGAGGCTCCCACTCAAGGCTGTCTTGCTGTCCACAATTCCACAGCACTGGGACCATATCCCTGCCAGCTAAATGTTCCTTGCCTATGACCAGCTAGCTGAGTTATAGATGAGGCAAAGTGGAATTAATTAGTTGAAAAAAACTGAGAGAACTTTTAGAGGAGAAAAGTCAAATGATCCTGTAATGTTTTCATGATTAAATTAAATGAACATAATTATACATGCACATTTGCACACCAAGGCATTATTATAATCAGGAATCTTAAAATATTGTATTGGTTCAAATTTATGCATATAGCACTTACTGAGAGCAAGAAGCTAGTGTGATATTTGAATTTGCATATTGACCATTTTCATATATTTTCATATATTAACTTCTAGTAGGAAGAAACTGAATTGTTAGTAAATTTCTTACCGTGCTTTAGAGAAAACACTGTATGTCTGCTGGTCGTTGAACACCAAGGCACTTAGCAACATTAACTTTCTTCCCACATAGTTCTCTGGGATGGATTTTCAACAAGATGACATCGTGTGAATGCTGAAGTTCAATAGGAAGGAAAGGGTATTGTGGTAAAATCCTAAATAGCTTATTAGACTACTTAATTGGAGGGAATTTATGTTTGCTGTTATTAGGAACTCTATAGTCAAGTTTCTCCTTAACAATCCTAATTGATGTAAAAAGCAGTAGCTATACTGATATAGTTACCATACAACCATCCAGCAAGTCATTTAAGGAAACTCACAGGTACTTGCTTTTGACTGACTTTGGTGTTGCTGAAAATTTGATCCTGTATTCATTTCTATTGCTACCCTCTCTCCCCATTTCCAGTCAGGTAACTTACTTATTCCTATCACGGCTTCACAAAATACTTAAAAGATTTACTTAATACTTAGAAGGTGAAGCTGTTCTTGCTCCCCACTTAACCACTTAGCACATTTTTCTTTTGATAAGTGTACCCTTTCATTAAATATGTGACTGTTTCATATTGCTTAGAGATTCCACCATTTTAAAGCATGTCTCTATTTGGCAGGGTTGCATGTCTATTACTACAGAAGGATGACTAGTTACTCTTCAACCCAGAGAAGAGATGTTAGTAAGCTGTGCGGACATCATGTGATGTGGCCATATTACTTGCATGTCTGGTAACTCCATCATCAAATGGAACACATGGTCTAATTTTCTTCCATGTACCTAGATACATGGGAAAAAACATCCTGGTACTAATCCAATGAATGGCCTGTCCCAGTGTCAAAGATCCAAACTGTAGTGTAGATATCCAAGAGGAAAGCAATTGGAGGGAAAGCTTGGGATTCAGTTCTCGTTACTCAACTTCAGCATCTAGTGTGGGAAGTACCTGCACATTGAGGTGACATTTTTCCTACTTGCAATAACTGTGTGGTGGCACACAAAGGGATGACCATGCATGTGCCTGATGAATGAAATAATTCAGAACTAATAAGAGTTCCTTTGTCACATGGTGCCCACATATCATTGAGTCATTACCTTGGCACACTGCTGCATGGACTAGTAGAAAGGTCATATAAAGTAAAAAGAAGGAATAAATGAAGGTTAATCAACCACCTTTGAACATCATGTATAAGGAAGGGTTTAGGCAAAGCTTTCCCGTGGCTTCTGGTTCATGTTTTATGCTGACACATCCCATGGCATTATAGAAACAGAAGAGGCAATTGTACAATAGGTAGAAGAGTCGTGAGGAAGAGAATGAATTTTGCAAAGCTGCCTCCATGTGGGATGGTCCTGTGTGTTCTCTCAGAGGGCCTGATGAAAGTCTTGTTTACTGCCTTGTTGCTAGATTAATGGCACCCTAGTCAAAAATTCAGATAAAACTTTTAAGTGTTGATTTTGTGCAAAAATGAAAAGATGACCCTCTGCACATAAAAGCAAAGGCCCTTCACATTTCAGTTCTGCCTTCAGGAAGGCTGCCTTTCCTTGTTGAAAGATTCAGTTTTGTCATCTTAAAGTTGTCACTCCTAGACTTTCTGCATTTGAAGTTTAACCTTGAACCCTCTAAAAGGCTCATCTGCTTATTGTACTTTATATCACTGAGATACGAAATACCAAGCATTAGGTATATTGAAAAGCATTAATTTTCTCTTAAAATTGTTTTATAAACTTCATTTTAAAACTTAATCAATTCAGAGACTTTTTTTTCCTAGAATCAACTATCAGATATACCTGGTCTTTGCTATTCCCAGAAATTTGACCAGCATAATGACGTGGCTTGACTTACCACTTTTCCTTGAACATCAGTATTTCAAAATAAGATAAATCTTCCACTTAAAGAAGGTGCACATGAAAAGATACCCTTGAGTTGAAAATGCAGTCCATTAAGAAAGCTATGAAAATGTGAAGATAATGACAATTACGATGGTTCTATCAGCCAACATTTGTTTAGCTAATCACAATGTGCTTTCTTAATTAGTCATCCTAACAAAGGATAAGGGAGAAATTTAACTCTTCCCCATTTTATAGATGAAAAAGGGGAGGTTTAAGGAAACTCTTGTCCAGATTTGGGCAAAGTTGATTGACTTCAAAACTTATATCCCCATGTACTGTGCAGTGTACAATGTTCCTTCAGGAATAAAGAATGTTTAAAAGAGAACGTTATTTTCTCTCAGAAGTAATTAGACAAACGTGTGCAGTTTGGGTGCTTCTATCTGGTTGGAACTGAATTCTCATCTGTTGCGTTCTTCCACTCCACACTGACTGAACTTCAGGTTGCACTGGGAATAGCAGATGGCGGGCATCCTGTCCTGCACTAGCTGCAGCA